TAATGCCTGGATGGCAGACAGGAGGGCCTACTTGTGTTCGCGGAGGTCACGCCCCAGGTTGGCACCCAACGCTTCATGAACTGTCGGCCCCGCTTGGCACAGAAGTGCCATGAGTCTATGGCCACGGGGGGACGGGGATGAGGGTGGGCTCGAGCCTGCACCCAGCGTGCAGCACCACCTAGCGTGCAGCAACCGCCTCCATGAATCCAGTCTGGGACAGCCAGAAAGTCTCAAACCAGAACCGAGGGGGGATCGGTGGCCGCTCGTCGATGGAGGACAGGGGAAGGGGGACGTGATCGGAGCCAATCCCGGGTGATGGCCCGGAGGGAAGCAAGGGAGCAGCGGAGGTCCCATTCTCGGGAAACTAGGACCCGGTCCAGGACGGACTGGGCCGGGGAGGCCTGGCGATTGGTCCAGGTAAATCTGGAACCAATCCTATCAATCTCACGGAGACCGAGGTCAGCAATGCAGTCATTAAACATCTGCATCCGCGCCAAGTTAACGTTCGAGTTGCTCTTGTCCTCTACGAACCGGAGAAGGTTAAAGTCACCGCCAACCACTACCGGAAGCGAGGCCGCCGAGACCTTCCGGTGGAGCTCCTCAAGGAAGGAGATGGACCTACTGTTGTCAGCAGGGCCGTAGACGATGATGACCTCCCACTTGAAGTTAAGCGCCCGCTCAAAGAGTTCCATGCTAACAAAGAACTGGCCTCAATCCATGCTACCCACCTCGAAGGTGGCATCATTCGCACCTAAAAGGATGCCACCCGAATGGCCAGTGCTCCCACTAGAAGGGAGCCAATGCCAAGCAAAGAGATGGGAGCTCAGACGATCGAGCTCCGGGAGAGAGATTGACATTGTCACCATCCAAGAAACCATGCGCAGGCTAGACCTACACCTAGCCAGGTCGCACAATATCCAAGTGCACCTTTTTTTTTATTACCCACGGCAATAACGAGTTTTATTCAAAGTATAGAGTTACAATCGAGAGGCACAAGTTCCTCAATACATAAAGGACAGGGGCTGTGTGACTATAGTTTGCCACATGATCGGCCACTCATTCTCTTCCCGTCGGATCTTAAGCCGAATAAACTTCCCTATTGAACATCAACGATCTAATTAATCATTGTAACCAGTTGTCCATATGTCGAACGATTCAAACCAGCCCATGTTAAGGTCAACATATAAAGCTTCCCTGGAATCGGCCTATATCAAGATATGATTACCATTGGGATAATATTTTGCGCTTAGCAAGCAGACACATAAACTGTTAGGGGTATCAAGTAACTACCATGCCTACTTTGCGAGAAGAGCTTGGTTAAAAGCTCTCATGTCGCGGAAACCCATTCCATCTTTACCCTAAGGAAGCACCATCTTGTTCCAACTCAAGCATGCCATCTTACATTTTGATTTTCTCACTCCCCGCAAATACTGTCACATAAGCCTTTTGAGATTATCACAAATCGATGCCGTCAGGACGATTAGCACTCATCACATATGTGGGGATGGCTTGAGCCACTACTTTAATTAACCGCTCTTTGCTACCTGAAGACATGTATTTGTTACTCTAGTCAACAAGTCTTCTACTTAATGCTGCTTGTACCGTTTCAAATATCCCTTTATGTCTTCTCCCCTTTGGGACACGAAGCCCCAAATACTTGGGCTCAAAAATCTGATGCATCGCGTCAATTTTTTTTTACTTCCTCAGATACCGCTGGCAGAAGAATTATCAGAGAAAATGATGAAACACTTGGAAGGATTTATGAGCTGACCCGTCGATGAAGCATAAGTAGTGTTCAAAAAGCCCTTTACCAACACCACCTTCTACTCAGAAGCATGGAAGAATAACAAAGAATCATTCGGAAAAAAGAGATGCAAAATAACGGTGCTCTTCTATAGATACCAGACTCCTTGAAGACCATCTCCTCCATAGTTTAGTTGATCAACATAGATAAAGCATCAGCAACAAAAAGGAATAAAAAATGAGATAACGGATTACCTTGGCGTAGACCACATGAAGGAGTGAAAGGTTCAAGAATTTTCCAACTGAACCTATTTTACTGAGAATACACACACCATAATCCCGGACATCCATGCTTGAGAAAAGCTCCATTTAAGCAATGCCTTCTCCAAAAACTCCCACTCAACACGATCATTGGATTTTGAGCGATCCAATTTGTACACACAGAGTGCCGGGGCATAATTCCTCTAACACTGTATATGATGGATAGACTCAAAAGTTGTGATAGAGTTATCAAAGATTAAACGTATAGGGATAAAAACAATTTGATTTTCCGAAATAAGACCCGTCAAGAGCGGCCAGACTCTATTTACCAGACATTTGGAAATAATTTTATACACGACGTTGCATAGGCTAATTGGTCTAAAATCCTTCATATCCTTGGGATGGGGGATCTTCAGAATTAGAACAATAGCCATGTCATTTAATCTTTTTGGCATTTTTATTTTCCCCTTTTCTTTTTTTCTTGCTAGTTTTCCTAGATTTTATTTTTATATTTTCTATTTTCTTAGTTTAACTTTTTATATAACCTTTTTCTCTATTTTTTATTTTTTATTTTATTTTTATTTACATGTTAAGGAAAAGATGAACATTTTCCTGAAACATGTCATATTTAAATTACATGACTTTTTTTTCAAAATTACATGAACACTTTTTAAAATTTCATGTACATTTGTTTTCCTAAATGCATGAACATTATTTTGAAAACACGACTAAAATCTTTTTCTTAATACATGAACATGTTATTAGATGCATGAACATATTTTAGAAATACGTGAGAAAGTTTTTAGTTACATCAATTTACATGAATGTTTCCAAAGTACATGAACTATTTCTATACGTGAACACTTTTACAAAGATGTTTTCATTTCTTAAAACTTCATGTTCACTTTTTTATTTTTGAGGGTTTTTTTTCCAAAATATGCTCACATTATTAAATATATGAACTCATTTGTGCACATCATGAATATTATTTTAAAGATGGGAGCACTTTTTAAAATCACCTAAACGATATTTTCAAGTAAAAGGTGAAATAGAAAAGTAAAAAACAAAGAAAAAATAAAAAAGGCAAAAAAATGTGGGTGAGGCCGCTACAGGCTGCTTGCTCACACATAAAATTTATTGGGCTGCCCAATCTGTAAGCCTAGTGGCGACAACAGCTTATAGGCCGGAGGCATGAGTTTACAGTTTTTTATTTTCTGAAAAGGAAATATATTTTAAACTTGTTAAAAATTCGGAACAAGTTTATAGTGTAACTAAAAACTAAATATATTAAAAGCATGTCCAGGCAGTGTTTAAAAATGCTATGTGTCTATTTAAATAAATGCTCGGTGTGTATTTAAAAAATGGTCATTTTATATTAAAAAATGTCCACTGTATATTAAAAAAGTATTCATTGTATATTAAATAAGTTCAATGTATATTAAAAAAGATTCATTATTCAACCGAGAAGAAACCAGGACAACGAAAATAAAAACAGTTGAAAAGGCTGGATGAGAAAAAACGATAAAATTTATATGTGATCGATCAATCCTTAAGGCTTAATCCAACAATTATCCCAATCTCTTGTCCAATCCCGCATCTGACAAACAGTTAATGGGATGATGTTTACCAGCGTCATAAATCTAACACTAGGTGACG